GTGCCACGTATAGGAAAATCTGCATTTTTGGTCAGCAATTTACTCAGTGTGCGCACAAATGCATGCGAATACGCAAATGAGCATAAATATTAATTAATTTTTCCTAAGAATATATTGTGTGCACAAATGTGCATATAAAAAAGCACAAATACATGCAAAACAACCACCTGAAATTACATTAAAAAAGCAGATGCTCAAACATCAGTACTGTGTGCCTAAGAGGCTAAAAAGCCATGGATTGCCTTGCTCAACAAAAATGGCAGAAACTCCAATATGGGTGGTTGGCTGTAGTGTGAGAAGACCACCTAATTTCAGGTTCACCTAACCATGACCTTTTCCAAGTACTTTGTTAGTGTCAGTAGCAGATAGACTGAAAGCCTGTCATTAAGAGGCATACTACATCACCGGGCTTGAGGAAATGATGGCGTTCCTTTTGTGTCAGGACATTAATTAGAGGTTTATACTATTAAAGGGTCTGGTTTATACCACTGTTCTACACATTCCTAGAATGGTTCCTCAAAAAAACACAAACGTATCTAGAATAATCACACAGGAAAACCGATAACAGCTTGCAACCTATAATTAGGAAATCACATTTGTCAGGTTGAGGAAAATATTGCAGTCCTGTCTGACTTTCCGTCTTTGATCTATCTAGAGTTTGGCAGACTGAAAATACTCACTATAGTTGCCAAATAGATGATCAAGTTCATTGTTCAAGAATGTAAAGCATGAAATGAGGGCCAGTTCAGGCAGTTTGTGTGACTTCCTAGATTGTAAGCTCTAACGGGCAGGGCCCTCTGTTTCCTCTTGTACCAAATTGTATTGTAACTGTCATGTCTACCTTCATTTTGTAAAGCACTGCGCAAACTGTTGGCGCTATATAAATCCTGTATAATAATAATAAAAATAATCAGGTGATGATCAGCAAATCTCAATAGCAATGAAACGGATGTAGCTTTTGGTCAGGTTTGATATTTTTGCCCAATTGATATTATATTTCCATGTTAATGAGGATCTTTGCGCCTTTCTTTAGGGTCTTCTCTCTTCCCTCTCCTTACACAACTACACGGTCCAGCAGAAGCCAGTCTAACAATTGGTTTCTGTTGCACAGAGAGGGATATAGACAGATCGAAATTCAGCCAGTTCAGCAGGAACGATCTATATGTCACTACTTCAGATGTCAGGCATCCCACTCTCAGATGTTGCCCAGCATACATATATGAAATAGAATCACCCACAATGGTGTAATTCCACAGACACAACTAATGTAAAAAAAATGTAAAACCACTCACATTTAAACTGGGTTTTCCGAGCGCGTCTCAAAAAATAAATCCAGCTGTAGAAAAGATTGGCAAAGCCGATGTTCATGATGTCGTCATCATAGCCTGAATGAGGTGACCTCCGGAGAGTGGGATGCCTGACGTCTAAATTGCTGGAGAGGAGTGCAGCTCTAACATGCTTGTCATGACCCCTTTGCTACCGAGGGTCATGGCGTTTTGGTAAAGAGTTTTTCCTTTTGGGCACAGAGGATCACTTCACACAGGGAAAGTTTGTATTGCTGGCATAAGTTCACATTGGATCAGCATATTCACAGGAATGGAGGACTGTTCTCACATTTTTGGTTTCATTTTTTTTTCACATTGATTGGTGTTCGTACAGAAAGTTTGGAGACCCTTGCTCTAACAAATAAAGGGCCAGTTTACGATCTTTCAGACTTTAGGGGGACCAGACTGTGGCCAGTGAGAGTAAAAAATATTTTGGCATTAGTGAGACTAAACCATGTCCCATATCTGGTAATAGGCAGAGGAATAGAGCCCCGTCGTTGGTGTCAGTGGGAGGAATAATGGCCCATTGTTGGTGACAGAGGGGGGAGTAGTGCCTCATCATTGGTGTTCGTGGGAGGAATAGTCCCCCAAACTTGTTGTCAGTGGGAGGAATAGTGGACCATCATTGGTGTCAGTGGGAGGAATAGTGGACCATCATTGGTGTCAGTGGGAGGAATAGTGGACCATCAATGGCGTCAGTGGGAGGAATAGTGGCCCATCAATGGCGTCAGTGGGAGGAATAGTGGCCCATCAATGGCGTCAGTGGGAGGAATAGTGGCCCATCAATGGCGTCAGTGGGAGGAATAGTGGCCCATCAATGGCGTCAGTGGGAGGAATAGTGGCCCATCAATGGCGTCAGTGGGAGGAATAGTGGGGCGTCAGTGGGGAGGAATAGTGGCCCATCATTGGCGTCAGTGGGAGGAATAGTGGCCCATCATTGGCGTCAGTGGGAGGAATAGTGGCCCATCATTGGCGTCAGTGGGAGGAACAATGGCCCATCATTGGTGTCAGTGGGAGATTGGTGTCAGTGGGAGGAACAAATGGCCCATCATTGGTGTCAGTGGGAGGAATAATGGCCCATCACTGGTGTCAGTGGGAGGAATAATGGCCCATCATTGGTGTCAGTGGGAGGAATAATGGCTGGTGTCAGTGGGAGGAATAATGGCCCATCATGGAATGGCCATCACTGGTGTCAGTGGGAGGAATAATGAATAGTCCCCAACTTTGGCATCATCAGTGGGAGGAATAATGGCCCATTGTAGGGGTCGGTGGGTGGAATGGTACCTTTTATCAGAGTGAAGACTAGTGCCCCAAGGGTTGGAAAAAGATAAGCAAAGTGCCACATCCATCCCTAGGGCAGCAGTTTGGAGAGCCCTGTGTTAAAGCATTGTATATGTACAGGATTTTTACTAAACGCACATCTTATTTGCTGTGCACTTCTTTATTACTGCGCAACAATTTTATTGTTTATGGAGAGGATTTACATATTTTTTTTGGTGCACTGGTGCGAAAGCTATTTGTACAAGAAGATTACAGTATATATTAGGAGTTGACCCACAATTTGTACATTATATTTTCACTTGGTGTGTGTATTTAATGCTCATTCACAGTTTGGAATTTAGTGCTGCATTTTAAGTAAAGTTTAGGCTTGCTTACTGGAAAATATGGCTAGCTGCCCTGTCTCTAAGGTTTCTAGGGTCGTGAGCGCAGTACTTTAAAAAAAAAAAAAAACAAAAAAAAAAAACTTGTAGACTGTAGTACTTACCTGGAGCCATCACCGGTAGTACTTCCTTTTCCAACAACATCACCTCAGTCTTCCAAGTTGAATGCACACCATTCAACCAGGAAGACTGAGGAAATTCTGCAAAATGTAAGGCATAATGGCTCCACCCCTGAGGGGGCATTGGCACAACAATCTTTATTCATAGAGTATTGATGAAGAGAGTGTTCCTGATGTTGTTGCGACTCTATGCATCATAACAATACACATCAGAAAAAATGTATATTAAAAAAAAAAAACAAAAAAACTAAGAAAACAGGCAACACACACTGAGGGAGCCTGGATGTTGGGCTTTTTGGCATTCTTGTGTAGTATTCACTTTCTGACAGCAGGACTATGCATAAAAACTGAACTAGGCTAAGGGTCTCCAGCACTACATCGGTATTTCCTTCTAGACTTTATCACTTGCAACATGCATTCTACCCTCAGAAGCCTTCTAGTGACAGATTTACATCTCAACACCATGATTCTGCCACCTCCAAGCTTCCCAGCGCTATACAGCCTTTAGTCTGAATGGTAAAGAACTCAATTTTCGCATCATCAGGTTGCAGAACTTTCTTTCAGCTCACTTCAGCCTCCCAAGAGGATTTCGAATCCCTCTGCACTGCATAAGTTAAATGCTTGTTTGGCTGAGGGGAAAGGAATAAATATGAATACTTCCCTTATTCCTAAATCCCCCAGCAGCCAGCACTCTCCTACTTTCCCTGGCCCTCTCCATCCTCAAGTACAATGCAGAACTGCTGTACTGTACTTGATGACGTCAAGGAGCTGCAAGCGGCCAAGTAGCAAAGTGCCGTGCCTTTAGGGGACCAGTCACACAGAGAGGAGGAAGCCTGTGAGTAAAGGTTAAGGGAAGTATTCCTTTATTAGACTGATTTAATTATGCTCTGAAGAACATTCAGCGTTAAAGTTTGTGCAAATCCCTATTTATGCTCAACAGGTTATTTTTAATTTTCCTTGATTTCTACATGTAAATCAAAGATATGCAAGATGGAAAAAAATGGTATTCATATACTCTTATTAAATGCAATAATCATATACAGTCATCGAAATTCAATATTATTTGTGATAGTGGTCTCTTAAAAGTGAGAGTCCGACTTGAGAGAAGACACCATACGATGCCTGTTATTACCTCTATTTGAAAGTTAAAGCCTTTGTGATTGGGGCCCAACTTTCCTGACTTTATGGCCAACTGCCACTGCCACTTTAGGAGTCTCAGCAGCTTGGGGCTCTTATGAGATAGCTGAATTGCAGTTTAATGGCTTTCAGCCATTAAGTCAGGGAGAGTCTAACCCAGCAATGGGCAAACTACGGCCCGCGGGCGGTATACCCCGGCGGACCTTTTAATCCAGCCCGCAGAGCGTGATACTGTCAGGATGGCTGACAGGATGTGTGTAGGCGGGGAAGCGCGACGAACGCGAGGGGAGCTAGGCTCCTCTCACAGTCCGCCCTGAAGACCGGAATGGCGCAGGAACACGGCGAGAGGAACGTGCGGAGCAAAGGTAAGTGAATTGACACAGGGGGGACTTGGGGGATGACTTAATATGGGGGATGAATTAATATGGGGAATGAATTACTATAGGGGGGTGAATTACTATGGGGGATGAATTACTATATGGGGATGAATTACTATATGGGGGATGAATTACTATGCTTACTATGGGGGATATTACTATACTTACTATGGATGACACATACACCATTCATCTACTCTTGGTCCGGCCCCCGGGGTCCAATATATGAACCCATTGCGGCCCTCAAGTCAAAATGTTTGCCCACCCCTGGTCTAACCCAACTAACAAAGTGAAACTAAATCAAAGTTTAGACTTTCAATACAGTTCCTACCCTACCATCTCAGATATACCAAACAAAATTGCACCATCTCTGATGCTTGCCTGTCATCTTTGTTGATCTGATCTCCAAAGCCCACAGTGTCCACAATCGTCAGTTTCAGGTGTACATTGCTTTCCTGAAGTTCATACGTGCGAGGTCGTAAACGAACTCCGTTCTCATAGTGGCTGGCTTCTTCTGTCTCAAACGTTGTGTTAAAGAGTGTGTTCATTAATGTGGACTTTCCAATACCGGTTTCACCTAGGAAATACATAAGGTAATTTAATTATGCACACTATGGTATCATATCTAACATATATACACACACACACACATACATATTTATTGCAACTACTAAGTTGTCATGGCTACACAAGTTATCTTTTCACTAGGTGATCCTGCCAGTTACATACTTCCTGTCTTAGGGTAGCAATGCTTACTTATTGCACTCTATCAATGCAGTCACCCTAGGTTGTTCACTCTTAATTTGAACTACAGAACACCTCTTTTTTCCTATCTCCATAACATTGGTTGGTGGGGGTGATCTATAGTTAACAGAGCATAGAGCAGGGCTGATACCACTGCTTAGGATGTTAAGATGTTCAAAGGATTTTTTATACAGTACAATCTTTCAACAGCTGAATGTCCCCAGTGGTCTTATCTAGTTAATATAAACATCTATTAGAAGATAATTCAAACCATACATAATACAAACTGCAAGAAAGTGACATAGGAGTTGCCCAGCGCAGTCAGTCAGATTCCAAGCATTTTGTAGTGAAAGTTAATAGAGAAGTCCAATTCCCATTTAAAGAGAAACACTTGCATATTTTCAGTATTATTCTAACATTTAACAAAGATTTAACAGTGTTATTCATTACAAATCTTTCACATCTTTGATTAATTGCCTATCCATATTTTAATTATTTTTCAGCAGATGTTCTAACTTACTCTGTGAAATCCTGTTCTCAACCAAGGCACAGTGGAAAAAATCAAAGTAACACACATATGCTGTTATAGCCCTCAATTAAAAGTATACCGAAAGGAAAAACTTTATCCAAACGTTTTGAAAAAAAAAAAAAATTTTTCAAAATAGGAGTAGTGAGAGGTTAGAACTGCTGTCAAGTTTAATAGTTGTCTGTGTTTCTGCTACAGAGATTCACTAACTGCTCTGATCACCAACATCTCTGGGAATTAAATGGATGGTAAATCCAGAATTCTGAGTTGTTGCCAGAATAGGAGTAAAGCGGGAATGTTCCAATGGGGACACTTGCTCTCGTGACATGTCTAATTAGTTAGAATTACAAAGATATCTTCTAAATTCTTGCCAATTATATAGAATATGGCAAACAACTGACAGTTTTAACCCCTACTCAATGCAAAATAAAAAAAATAGTTATGACCTTAGATATATCTTGGGGATCACAAAGGGTGCTGGTATCCATGTACATCATTTGATGAGGGGCAGAAAGCTGCCCGTCAATTTTTAAAGTGATATCTTTGTACCTATGGCCTTAAAGGCTAAATCCATCTTAAAAAAAAAAAAAAAAAAAAAATGCACACATTTTTGCAGGTAAAAATGTGCATTAAGAACTGTACCAGCACAATCTTCCTCCAGCTCCCTGTCCGTACCTAGGTGGGGTTTCAGTTGGAGAGCTGGAGAAAGTGTCAAAAGAGTACAAGTGAGGTGAGCACCACACTTGTTTGCCATTGACAATCACAAGTCAGTCTGCCACTGTGGCAGATGGGACTTGTAGCAGGGATGTTCAATTTGTATTGCCCGAAGCACGGGACATGTAGTTCCGGGCACAGGGCAGGTAGTTTCTTTTAACCCTTTAGCCCTGCTGCAGGCAAGAAGCAGGGCTCACCTGTCAGGTGAAAGCATTCAAGCAGCAGTGCTGCTGCCAGCTGCTTCCACACAGCCCACAGTGCCAGCCTCCTTCACCACTCCGCGTACCTCCACCTTGCCCCCTATGTCTTCCGGGCTCTGCTTGCCCCTCTGCGAGCCCGGGACTGGTTCACCGGGTGCCACCATGTAGAAGGGATGGAGGAGCATGGGCACATCTGCTCCCCTCATCTTCTTGTTCTGACCCGGATGTCACTTCCAGGTCCCCGTTGACAGATTTCGGGCCATCGTAGTCAGGGAAGAATGTAATGCAGTGCGATGTGTACTGCATTACATCCTGTGGAGTACCAGTGAGACATCCAGGGCCTTTTAGATGATGAGAACCTAATTTTAGAGAATGAGAACTTGTCACCAAAAATCATCACATAGGGCACTTTTGTCCTCTATGTGATAAAAAAAAAAGTGAAGATTTTTTTTTTTTTTTTTTTAATTGTAAAAACTTAAGAGTTAAACCCAAGCACTTGAAACCCCCCCCCCCCCCCCAAAAAAAAAATGGAGGCCCCCCACATATACACGTTACTTACATCCACGCACACCAGAGTGAGAGCAATAATTGTAGCACCAGACCTCCTCTGTAACTAAACTGATGACCTATAAGGGTCTTTAAAAGCATCAGCTATAGAAAATATAGGGTACTAAAGTTTTCACCATTTCAGGAAAGCACACAAATTTAAGGTTTGACATGCTGGATATCTATTTACTCAGTACAACCCCTTTTTTATTTTAGCTAAAAAAAAAAAAAGGGGGGGGGTAATTTATTGCGTTTTTTTGCCCTAAAATGAAGTGCATTTTTTACACCTTTTTGGTAGTATCATGTAAATTGGAACTACTACTATTTTTATTCTCCAGGGTCTCTGCTTTAAGAAAATATGTAATGTTTCGGGGGTTTTATGTAATCTTCAGGCCTAAAATAATTTTTTAAATGTGTGCAAAAAGGGCCCTGGCAGCAAAAGTGATAAAGGATAAGACCGACACTGAAAGGTCTCTCCCCTCCCTGCTAGTCCTTAGGTGTGGTGCTGGAGACAGGCAGGGAGGTGAGAAGGAGAGAAACAGTGCAATGTTAAAAATATTAACCGTTTAAGTGGCCATATAGCCTCTTTTGTTTTTACAAGCCCCAGACATTCCTAAAAGCACCTCAAAATTTAAAATACGGTTTTGGTTAAAATGTATTTGGTTTTATCTGGACAAGTAGACTGTCATGAAGGACAAGTAGTTTCTTTTTTTTTTTTTTTTTTTAATTTCCACAACCCTGTTGTAGTTCGTTCATTCACAGATCTTTGGAATGAATGTTGCAGCGGAGCCCTGCACAGCATGACAACTTAAAAAGGTAACAGCAGCTTGGTCCATTTGCATCATATTAAAATCTAAATACAGGTGTGACATGGTGCAAAAGTTGGAGTTAGCCTGGAAAGCTACACTCCAAGCAAAATATTGAACAAAAAAAACACACCAGCATAAATGAGTACACTCCTTTTGAAAAGTACAATTTTAATCACTATCTCAATGAAAAGAAGAAAAAATTCCAGTTTTGACAAAACTGAGTTTTTCTAGAACATTTGCTTAGCTCATTACAAAAAGGAAGGTTAATAATATAACTTTGATTACAAAATCTTCAGTTTTAATTAAATTAGTCAATGCAAAAATGAAAACACCTCACAACAAAAACTGCTACATCTAGTATTTTGTATGATCTCCAAGATTTGTAAGGACTTCACCAAGTCTTCTAGCCATGGAATGAACAAGTTGGCAACATATTGCAACATCTATCTTTTTCCATTCTTCAAGAACAACCTCTTTTAGAGCCTGGATGCAGGATGGAGAGTGATGCTCAACTTGTCTCTTCAGAATTCCCCATAGGTGTTTGATTGGGTTCATATCAGGAGACATACTTGGCCACTGATTCACTTATACCCTGTTCTTCTTCAGACATGCAACAGTGGCCTTAGATGTGTTTTTTTTGGATTGTTGTCATGTTGGAAAAGTGCATGACGACTAAGGGCACGAGTGATGGTAGCATCTTCTCTTTCAATATAAAACAGTACTTCTGTGAATTTATGATACCACCTGTAGCAAGCGTGCACACAGAGATGGACACGAACTTCCATTTGGGCAAAAGACCGTTCATCTTGTACAATTATCTCTTTCTCTCCCTCTTTCCTCATCCCCCTCTATCTCTGTTGAGTGACATGTGGTCTGTTTGATGCAGAGTTCAAAAAGGCATCAAGGGCTTCCTGGCTATAAAACCTCACCAGCTAGGTGCCCCCTGTCTGTTAGCTGTGCAATCTGGGATATCGTAAAAGTGTAAACCAAGTCCCTCACTGAACTTCAAAAGACCTTCCAAGGGGGGGTCGTAAAACAGACTTCCTTTTAAAAACTCACTTTTTCATATAAGTTGATATCTTCACGTAGGACATAATTACCTAAATATGGAGCCCATATTCGGATGGCTCAATTTGAGACCATTCTCCTGGTATGTTGCACCCCTTATCTGACACATATAAGAGAGCTGGAAAGTATATCTCCTGAACCATTCAAGTCTATATGACATGTTTCATCTCTCTAACCATTCCGCAGATGCTGCTGAGTATTAATATACTAGTGCCCAGGCTGCCAAATGCCCAGAGAATGAGTTATGAATCATAGCAGCAGCTATGAGAGTTTCTAGTCATAACTTAGGGCTCCACCTACACCTCCCTCCCCAAAAGGAGACAATTGGTTTACTGCTCCAGGGAGGCACCCGGTGGAGATACTAGAAAAGTAATGGGAATAATGTATACGAGCGCACCTACAAATGCAGTGTAGCAGCTGTGCACCAGGTAACCATAAACCTTATAAAACAATAATATAAATCAAACGATGCAGCGCTGGACAAGAGGTACTATAGGTATATATATAAATAAATGAATAAATGAATATAAAACAAGCAGTTCATATAGTGATATCAAGGTGACTTCAGGTGCTCTCATCTATTCCCATTCTCCAGGTGACAAGATGCTGTGCGATATAGTGCAGAAGAAATGCACACTCACCAGAACGCACAGTTTAATGAGCGTTTGTATATATATATATATATATATATATATATATATATATATATATATATATATATATATATATATATATATATTGATCCCTTGAGGTCATCAGCTGGTCAAGGTAGGGTCTGGAATCCACTGGTCTCCCTCCAGTACTACTGGGTGTTATTGTTAGGACATCAGGATGATTCCTTGGATGTTAGCCTGTGGACTACTCCTCAAATGGTAAGAGCGCTCCTTCACCAGCAGTGAAATGGATGGCTATGAATTGATACTCCCCAAGGGAGTCAAAGCAGAGACATCTCCATAGTGTAGTAAGTTAG